CATACATACATACATACATACATACATACATACATACATACATACATACATACATACATACATACATACATACATACATACATACATACATCCATACATACATCCATACATCCATACATACATACATACATCGCTGCTAGCTCTCCAGCATTCCTCTGCGTGAAGAGAGCAGGCACAGGAGGACTCACTGTTGCAGTTCTTTGAAAGTGTCAATCAAAAATTGCGCTATGAATATGAAAAAAAAAAACCTAAGTAAGTTGCTTCGACGTATAAGTCACAGGACTGACAAATCTATGCAAAAAACTGTGACTTATATGCTGGAAAATATGGTAATATTGATCATATAACCAGGTTACCTTCTGTTGACCTGTCCTGTATGACCAGGTGCTGAGAAACCTGGGCGGAGCTGTGATTATCAACATTTGGTGCTTATAACTTGTGCAGTATTTGAGTAATCTGATCATTTAGAGGATAAATTGTTTTAATAATCTTTTCTGATCAGGCCTGTGGTTCTGCAGGTTTTTTGCAGATTATGCATCTCAGGGGGGGGAAAGCTGTGCACATGGTTTTGTTCATGTGATGAGATTAGGTCACCGGTCTCTAAATAACCTCTGTGAAAATGTACATCAGTGTTGATAATGGGGGAGGGAGGGAGTAGACCTCGTCCCCAGACGCCACGCTGGCAGGGCAGTTGTAACTGGACGCTGCAGCGATCGATATCAAGCTGCTGCCTAAAGTCTGAGAATCTGATAATGGCTGCTGTTATCTACTTCAGCTTAGCCATGGGAGATACCTGGCTCCAGCAGAGCTAATGGGGGGGGGGGGGGGGGGGGGGGGGGGGGGGGGGGGAGATAATGGGGGGTGTAGAGGCAACAGCTGAGCCTGAGAACATTAAAGCTGAAAGAAGGTTGTCTCCACATTAAGGTTTGTTTGTGTGCATGTATTTTGGAGGCTGTGAGGTTACGTTTCAGACTCTGGGAAATATATATATACTGTATAGTCCTAAAGTACATTAAGATGCCTGCTTGAAAATCAAAGTGTAGGGAGATAAATTACTAAACACACATTTATATATTTTCTTACATTTTAGAAAAAGCAAGTTCTACTTAGAACTGTGTTTGTGGAGGAAGAGAGCGCCGCACATTTCAAACATTTGCAGAGACTAATTACACGAAGGAATCATCTTCTGATGACCTTATTAGAGTCATGTTGGAATGCTGGCAAACACCTCTACAAAGTTGCACTTCCAGTTTTTCAGGTTTGCCAGCATTCATACCTGCAGAGAACTCTTTAACGTCTCTTCAAATCTTTTGGATCAAGTTGACGGCTCTATCCTTAAAACGTTTCAGACAGCCTTGATTTGTCTGTAGAATGATTTGGTCAGCCCATGTTTAAGTCTGGGTCCAGGTGTTGTGGCTACAAAACAAGCACAAACCATCACCACTCCACCACCGTGCTTGACAGCTGCTTTAAGCTGTTTATGCTGATTTTATGTACAGTAGTCCCTCGCTACTTCACGGTTAGTTTATCGCAGATTCGCTCTATTGCGGTTTTTCAAAATAAGACTGGACACACAATTGGCTGATTGATGGATGAGCCGCATGATGGGCATGGAATTTTTATTTAAAATAAATAATTTTCAATTATTTAGCACCTGCTGCACATTTGTGCAGCCCAGAGCTGCAGGATAAACTTCCTGCTGCAGCTGATCAGCTGATCTGCGTGCAGAGCAGAGAAGTGGGCGTGGCCAAGAGCGCTTGCCGGTGGCTGAGAGCAGCGGAGCCACAAAGAGGAACATCATGACATTCTGTGCTCTTTTAGAGCATTTAGAGTTTAGAAACATTGTTTAGAATATTGCAATATGAATAATAAGATAAACTACTGCTTACTACTTGTACTACTCTTCCTACTTTGCGTTTTTTTACTTATCGCGGTACTTCAGGGTACGGATCCCCCGCGATAAACGAGGGACTACTGTAGTTCTTCCAACTGATATCTTGCTCGACCTACAAACGTCTTCGTTTGGGTTTTATCTTTTCAAAAGATCCT